GCCCTCATATCTTCTTCTTACATTTCTCCTACAGAATATGATAAATATGTATAGTCTCTCAGACATTTTGAGGTCTACATTTCAAAAATTTTCACAACTTAAATACGTGATTGCAGATACCTTGAAAGTTGGATGGAATCCAAGACGTTGAGCACACTAACCAGAGCTCTACTGAGCTACATTCACCAGTCTATTCAATATCCCTTTACCAATATCACCCATCGAAATCATTCTTTCTTGGGAGTCACAAGTTTCCACTGTAATTTTCTACTTCTCCATGAGAAATTTATTATAATGCATTAGAAAATGGCTGCTCTTGCAGAGGACCCACATTTGATTCCCAGTACCCACATGGCATCTAGCAACCATCCATAACTCCAGGGGATTTGGTACCCTCTTCTGATCTTCGTGGGTCGAAAAACCTTTGTATGTGTTTGAAAGTCTTTGATGAATAACTTTATGATACTTTTGGACCATCAAAAATATACATACGGGGGGCTGGAGAGATGGCTCAGCAGTTAAGAGCACTGACTGCTCTTACAGAAGACCCAGGTTTGATTCCCAGCACCCATATGGAGGCTAACAACCATCCGTAACTCCAGTTCCAGGGGATCTGACACCCTCTTCTGACTTCCGACAACATTATAGGCATGGGTGCATTTACATACCTGCAGGCAAAGTACTCATACACATAAAATTAAAATAAATAAATTCAAAAAATTTAAGCATGTATACACACTGAAATCAGAATATTTTTTCTTCTGGATTGATTATACTTATAGCTGTTATTATTAGGATACACCTAATTAGTATAAATAATTTTTTTTCTTCTTTCACTGCTGGGGATGAGATCTAGGGCTTGTGCATGCCAGTCAATCACCGAACTATGGTCACAGTTCCGTAATTCTTTTTTAAAAAATATTGTATTATTTTTATGTGTTTGAGCATATTACCTGCATGTATATAAGTGCACCTGTACCATGCAATGTCCATGAAAGTCAGAAGAGGGCATTGGATCCCCTGGAACTGGAGTTATAGATGGTTGCTAGACACCATGTACGTGCTGGGAATCGAACCCAGGTCCTCTGCAAGAACAGCAGTGCTCTTAACCACTGAGCCATCTCTCCAGCCCAGTTCTATAATTCTTTATTTTCTTCTTTTTAAATTAATTCATTGGTTAATCAATTGATTAATTTATGAGATAGAGTCTCGTGCTACACCTAGGCTGGCCTTAAACTTGCTATCAGCAGAAGATGACTTTGAACTTTAGATACTCCAGTCTTTACCTCCAAAGTGCTGAGATTACAAGCATGTGTTGCTACACTCAGTTTATGTGGTACTCGGGATCAAACCCAGGATTTCATGCATGCTAGGCAG